AACACTTTAATTTTCTGCAGGATGTTTTTGCCCCCCTAGTAAGGTGTTCTTTGATAACGCGTGTATTTCTGCAGGATGTTTTTGCCCCTCTAGTAAGGTGTTCTTTGATAACGCGTTTATTTCTGCAGGATGTTTTTGCCCCCCTAGTAAGGTATTCTTTGATAACGCGTGTATTTCTGCAGAATGTTTTTGCCCCCCTAGTAAGGTGTTCTTTGATAACGCGTGTATTTCTGCAGGATGTTTTTGCCCCCCTAGTAAGGTGTTCTTTGATAACGCGTGTATTTCTGCAGGATGTTTTTGCCCCCCTAGTAAGGTGTTCTTTGATAACACTTTAATTTTGTGCAGGATGTTTTTGCCCCCCTAGTAAGGTGTTCTTTGATAACGCGTTTATTTCTGCAGGATGTTTTTGCCCCCCTAGTAAGGTGTTCTTTGATAACGCGTGTATTTCTGCAGGATGTTTTTGCCCCCCTAGTAAGGTGTTCTTTGATAACGCGTGTATTTCTGCAGGATGTTTTTGCCCCCCTAGTAAGGTGTTCTTTGATAACACTTTAATTTTGTGCAGGATGTTTTTGCCCCCCTAGTAAGGTGTTCTTTGATAACGCGTGTATTATTGCAGGATGTTTTTGCCCCCTAGTAAGGTGTTCTTTGATAACGCGTGTATTTCTGCAGGATGTTTTTGCCCCCCTAGTAAGGTGTTCTTTGATAACGCGTGTATTTCTGCAGGATGTTTTTGCCCCCCTAGTAAGGTGTTCTTTGATAACACTTTAATTTTGTGCAGGATGTTTTTGCCCCCCTAGTAAGGTGTTCTTTGATAACGCGTGTATTATTGCAGGATGTTTTTGCCCCCTAGTAAGGTGTTCTTTGATAACGCGTGTATTTCTGCAGGATGTTTTTGCCCCCCTAGTAAGGTGTTCTTTGATAACGCGTGTATTTCTGCAGGATGATTTTGCCCCCCTAGTAAGGTGTTCTTTGATAACGCGTGTATTTCTGCAGGATGTTTTTGCCCCCCTAGTAAGGTGTTCTTTGATAACACTTTAATTTTGTGCAGGATGTTTTTGCCCCCCTAGTAAGGTGTTCTTTGATAACGCGTGTATTATTGCAGGATGTTTTTGCCCCCTAGTAAGGTGTTCTTTGATCACGCGTGTATTTCTGCAGGATGTTTTTGCCCCCCTAGTAAGGTGTTCTTTGATAACGCGTGTATTTCTGCAGGATGTTTTTGCCCCTCTAGTAAGGTGTTCTTTGATAACACTTTAATTTTCTGCAGGATGTTTTTGCCCCCCTAGTAAGGTGTTCTTTGATAACGCGTGTATTATTGCAAGATGTTTTTGCCCCCCTAGTAAGGTGTTCTTTGATAACGCGTGTATTTCTGCAGGATGTTTTTGCCCCCCTAGTAAGGTGTTCTTTGATAACGCGTGTATTTCTGCAGGATGTTTTTGCCCCCCTAGTAAGGTGTTCTTTGATAACGCGTGTATTTCTGCAGGATGTTTTTGCCCCCCTAGTAAGGTGTTCTTTGATAACGCGTGTATTTCTGCAGGATGTTTTTGCCCCTCTAGTAAGGTGTTCTTTGATAACACTTTAATTTTCTGCAGGATGTTTTTGCCCCCCTAGTAAGGTGTTCTTTGATAACGCGTGTATTTCTGCAGGATGTTTTTGCCCCCCTAGTAAGGTGTTCTTTGATAACGCGTGTATTATTGCAGGATGTTTTTGCCCCCCTAGTAAGGTGTTCTTTGATAACGCGTTTATTTCTGCAGGATGTTTTTGCCCCCCTAGTAAGGTGTTCTTTGATAACGCGTGTATTATTGCAGGATGTTTTTGCCCCCCTAGTAAGGTGTTCTTTGATAACGCGTGTATTTCTGCAGGATGTTTTTGCCCCCCTAGTAAGGTGTTCTTTGATAACGCGTGTATTTCTGCAGGATGTTTTTGCCCCCCTAGTAAGGTGTTCTTTGATAACGCGTGTATTTCTGCAGGATGTTTTTGCCCCCCTAGTAAGGTGTTCTTTGATAACGCGTGTATTTCTGCAGGATGTTTTTGCCCCTCTAGTAAGGTGTTCTTTGATAACACTTTAATTTTCTGCAGGATGTTTTTGCCCCCCTAGTAAGGTGTTCTTTGATAACGCGTGTATTTCTGCAGGATGTTTTTGCCCCCCTAGTAAGGTGTTCTTTGATAACGCGTGTATTTCTGCAGGATGTTTTTGCCCCCCTAGTAAGGTGTTCTTTGATAACGCGTGTATTTCTGCAGGATGTTTTTGCCCCCCTAGTAAGGTGTTCTTTGATAACGCGTGTATTTCTGCAGGATGTTTTTGCCCCCCTAGTAAGGTGTTCTTTGATAACGCGTGTATTTCTGCAGGATGTTTTTGCCCCCCTAGTAAGGTGTTCTTTGATAACGCGTGTATTTCTGCAGGATGTTTTTGCCCCCCTAGTAAGGTGTTCTTTGATAACGCGTGTATTTCTGCAGGATGTTTTTGCCCCCCTAGTAAGGTGTTCTTTGATAACGCGTGTATTTCTGCAGGATGTTTTTGCCCCTCTAGTAAGGTGTTCTTTGATAACACTTTAATTTCTGCAGGATGTTTTTGCCCCCCTAGTAAGGTGTTCTTTGATAACGCGTGTATTTCTGCAGGATGTTTTTGCCCCCCTAGTAAGGTGTTCTTTGATAACGCGTGTATTTCTGCAGGATGTTTTTGCCCCCCTAGTAAGGTGTTCTTTGATAACGCGTGTATTTCTGCAGGATGTTTTTGCCCCCCTAGTAAGGTGTTCTTTGATAACGCGTGTATTTCTGCAGGATGTTTTTGCCCCCCTAGTAAGGTGTTCTTTGATAACGCGTGTATTTCTGCAGGATGTTTTTGCCCCCCTAGTAAGGTGTTCTTTGATAACGCGTGTATTTCTGCAGGATGTTTTTGCCCCCCTAGTAAGGTGTTCTTTGATAACGCGTGTATTTCTGCAGGATGTTTTTGCCCCCCTAGTAAGGTGTTCTTTGATAACGCGTGTATTTCTGCAGGATGTTTTTGCCCCCCTAGTAAGGTGTTCTTTGATAACGCGTGTATTTCTGCAGGATGTTTTTGCCCCCCTAGTAAGGTGTTCTTTGATAACACTTTAATTTTGTGCAGGATGTTTTTGCCCCCCTAGTAAGGTGTTCTTTGATAACGCGTGTATTATTGCAGGATGTTTTTGCCCCCCTAGTAAGGTGTTCTTTGATAACGCGTGTATTTCTGCAGGATGTTTTTGCCCCCCTAGTAAGGTGTTCTTTGATAACGCGTGTATTTCTGCAGGATGTTTTTGCCCCCCTAGTAAGGTGTTCTTTGATAACGCGTGTATTTCTGCAGGATGTTTTTGCCCCCCTAGTAAGGTGTTCTTTGATAACGCGTGTATTTCTGCAGGATGTTTTTGCCCCCCTAGTAAGGTGTTCTTTGATAACGCGTGTATTTCTGCAGGATGTTTTTGCCCCCCTAGTAAGGTGTTCTTTGATAACGCGTGTATTTCTGCAGGATGTTTTTGCCCCCCTAGTAAGGTGTTCTTTGATAACGCGTGTATTTCTGCAGGATGTTTTTGCCCCCCTAGTAAGGTGTTCTTTGATAACACTTTAATTTTGTGCAGGATGTTTTTGCCCCCTAGTAAGGTATTCTTTGATAACGCGTGTATTTCTGCAGGATGTTTTTGCCCCCCTAGTAAGGTGTTCTTTGATAACGCGTGTATTTCTGCAGGATGTTTTTGCCCCCCTAGTAAGGTGTTCTTTGATAACGCGTGTATTTCTGCAGGATGTTTTTGCCCCCCCTAGTAAGGTGTTCTTTGATAACGCGTGTATTTCTGCAGGATGTTTTTGCCCCCCTAGTAAGGTGTTCTTTGATAACACTTTAATTTTGTGCAGGATGTTTTTGCCCCCCTAGTAAGGTATTCTTTGATAACACTTTAATTTTGTGCAGGATGTTTTTGCCCCCCTAGTAAGGTATTCTTTGATAACGCGTGTATTTCTGCAGGATGTTTTTGCCCCCCTAGTAAGGTGTTCTTTGATAACGCGTGTATTTCTGCAGGATGTTTTTGCCCCCCTAGTAAGGTGTTCTTTGATAACGCGTGTATTTCTGCAGGATGTTTTTGCCCCCCTAGTAAGGTGTTCTTTGATAACGCGTGTATTTCTGCAGGATGTTTTTGCCCCCCTAGTAAGGTGTTCTTTGATAACGCGTGTATTTCTGCAGGATGTTTTTGCCCCCCTAGTAAGGTGTTCTTTGATAACGCGTGTATTTCTGCAGGATGTTTTTGCCCCCCTAGTAAGGTGTTCTTTGATAACACTTTAATTTTGTGCAGGATGTTTTTGCCCCCCTAGTAAGGTATTCTTTGATAACACTTTAATTTTGTGCAGGATGTTTTTGCCCCCCTAGTAAGGTATTCTTTGATAACGCGTGTATTTCTGCAGGATGTTTTTGCCCCCCTAGTAAGGTGTTCTTTGATAACGCGTGTATTTCTGCAGGATGTTTTTGCCCCCCTAGTAAGGTGTTCTTTGATAACGCGTGTATTTCTGCAGGATGTTTTTGCCCCCCCTAGTAAGGTGTTCTTTGATAACGCGTGTATTTCTGCAGGATGTTTTTGCCCCCCTAGTAAGGTGTTCTTTGATAACGCGTGTATTTCTGCAGGATGTTTTTGCCCCCCTAGTAAGGTGTTCTTTGATAACACTTTAATTTTGTGCAGGATGTTTTTGCCCCCCTAGTAAGGTGTTCTTTGATAACGCGTGTATTTCTGCAGAATGTTTTTGCCCCCCTAGTAAGGTATTCTTTGATAACGCGTGTATTATTGCAGGATGTTTTTGTCCCCCTAGTAAGGTGTTCTTTGATAACGCGTGTATTTCTGCAGAATGTTTTTGCCCCCCTAGTAAGGTATTCTTTGATAACGCGTGTATTTCTGCAGGATGTTTTTGCCCCCCTAGTAAGGTGTTCTTTGATAACGCGTGTATTTCTGCAGGATGTTTTTGCCCCCCTAGTAAGGTGTTCTTTGATAACGCGTGTATTTCTGCAGGATGTTTTTGCCCCCCTGGTAAGGTGTTCTTTGATAACGCGTGTATTGAACCTAAAGACTGTGTTTGCACGTGGGAAGGAGAAATAAGAGATGTAAGTTTACTTTCCCCTGTCAGGGTGGATATTACCAATTTATTATCATTTCGTCGCACTAAAAGCTCGTGAGATTATCGTATAATAAAACCAAAAACCTCCAGTCCTATTTTTCGTTATTATTAAAAAAATTTGATCTTGAATTTACCTTGGAATAAAATAAACAATAAATAGAATAAGCAATAAATAAAATAAACAATAAGTAAAATTAACAATAAGTGTAAGTCCTCGTTTTCAAACAAACAATATACTCTCCTCAGATTGGTGATGTGTGGGATAACCAGGAGACTTGTAAAACATGCACGTGTGTAGATGCAGGTTAGTAAAACATGCACGTGTGTAGATGCAGGTTAGTAAAAATGCACGTATGTAGATGCAGGTTAGTGAAACATGCACGTGTGTAGATGCAGGTTAGTGAAACATGCACGTGTGTAGATGCAGGTTAGTAAAAATGCACGTATGTAGATGCAGGTTAGTGAAACATGCACGTGTGTAGATGCAGGTTAGTAAAACATGCACGTGTGTAGATGCAGGTTAGTAAAACATACACGTGTGCAGTAGATGCAGGTTAGTGAACATGCACGTGTGTAGATGCAGGTTAGTGAAACATGCACGTGTGTAAATGCAGGTTAGTGAACATGCACGTGTGTAGATGCAGGTTAGTGAAACATGCACGTGTGTAGATGCAGGTTAGTAAAACATGCACGTGTGTAGATGCGGGTTAGTGAAACATGCACGTGTGTAGATGCAGGTTAGTGAACATGCACGTGTGTAGATGCAGGTTAGTGAAACATGCACGTGTGTAAATGCAGGTTAGTGAACATGCACGTGTGTAGATGTACTCACTTGCACTATGCAGGTTAGTGAAACATGCACGTGTGTAGATGCAGGTTAGTGAAACATGCACGTGTGTAGATGCACTCACTATGCAGGTTAGTGAAACATGCACGTGTGTAGATGCAGGTTACTGTTAGTAAAACATTCACGTGTGTAGATGCAGGTTAGTTTCTATTTATTCGTTAATGATTCATTTTGTCGACATTTTATTATACTTTACCTAATGTTGAATCTATAAAATACTTGATAGAGCTAAGAATATGTGTTATTTCAGGTAATATAATCTGCAATAACACTATTTGTGAGGAGTGTCCAGAGGGACATGTACCTATAGTGATCGATGAAGAAGAATGTTGTCCCACCTGTGTTACAAGTAAGTGACATACTGTGTCCCACCTGTGTTACAAGTAAGTGACATATTTCTCCAACACAAGAAGAATGTTGTCCCACCTGTGTTACAAGTAAGTGACATGTTGTCCCACCTGTGTTACAAGTAAGTGACATGTTGTCCCACCTGTGTTACAAGTAAGTGACATGTTGTCCCACCTGTGTTACAAGTAAGTGACATATTACTTATAATGTTGTCCCACCTGTGTTACAAGTAAGTGACATGTTGTCCCACCTGTGTTACAAGTAAGTGACATGTTGTCCCACCTGTGTTACAAGTAAGTGACATGTTGTCCCACCTGTGTTACAAGTAAGTGACATATTTCTCCAACACACATATATACAAAGACTTCGCCGTGCTTTATGAGGATTAAAATGGAAACTTGGGATCAGGATCTGTTACTCATGATTCCATAATTGATACACCCCTAAAATTGTGGTAACCTAGGTTACACCCCTAAAATATTGAGATATTGGTAACCAGGGTAACAGCTCCCATCCCCCTCAGACTGGTTAATAGCAGTAGATGATAAGTTGGACTTCAAACGGAAAGTGGGGGACTCAGTAACGTTCGGGGTCGAGATACATTTACCAGTAGACATCCCGGCAGAGAGACTAAAATGGGAAAAGAGGAGACAAGAGAACTTCTTACAGACTAAGAAATACGAGTAAGTGAGGTGGTTACCATGGGAACCAATAGAAACTCCAATTTTAGAGTCATCTTTTCGGGGCCGCCGTAAGGTGAACCTTAAAATTTAACATATTGACTAGAACAGTAATAGCAAACTGATAAACTTTACTTGTGCAGTATATCAGGTAACTAACTGTAACCATGGTAACTATACTTGTGCAGTATATCAGAGGACAGGACACAGCTCACTGTCAACGATTTGACACTGCAAGATGAAGGGATCTACAGACTGCGAGCCTGTATTGATAAGGAAAACACAGTCTGTGGGAGTCTGGAGTTCAGACTGAGTGTTAAAAACGACATTATTATCGCTGTTGACCCGGTTAGTTAGTTAGTTAGTTAGTTAGTTAGTTAGTTAGTAAGTTAGTAAGCTAGTTAGTTAGTTAGTTAGTTAGTTAGTTAGTTAGTTAGTTAGTTAGTAAGCTAGTTAGTTAGTTAGTTAGTTAGTTAGTTGGTTAGTTAGTTAGTTAGTAAGTAAGTAAGTAAGTTAGTTAGTTAGTTAGTTGGTTGGTTGGTTGGTTGGTTAGTTAGTTAGTTAGTTAGTTAGTTAGTTGGTTAGTTAGTTAGTTAGTTAGTTTGTTAGTTAGTTAGTTAGTTCGTTCGTTCGTTGGTTAGTTAGTTAGTTAGTTAGTTAGTTAGTTAGTAAGTTAGTTAGTTAGTTAGTTAGTTAGTTAGTTGGTTGGTTAGTTAGTTAATTAGTTAATTAGTTAGTTAGTTAGTTAGTTAGTTAGTTAGTTAGTTAGTTAGTTAGTTAGTTAGTTAGTTAGTTAGTTAGTTAGTTAGTTAGTTAGTTAGTTAGTTAGTTAGTTAGTTAGTTAGTTAGTTAGTTAGTTAGTTAGTTAGTCATTCAGTCAGTCAGTCAGTCAGTCAGTCAGTCAGTCAGTCAGTCAGTCAGTCAGTCAGTCAGTCAGTCAGTCAGTCAGTCAGTCAGTTAGTCAGTTAGTTAGAGAAACAGTTTTGCAACAAATCACATTTTTCTAAAGTTTCACTTTACAATTTACATTTGTTCCTTTTCCAGGATCAAACTGTATCAGAGCTGGAGACGGTTACATTTGGAGTAGTTATAGTCGGTGTAGAGCCTGAACCGGGTTAGAAACAGTATTATTGTGTGATGTCCTAATACGTGGATTATGTCACGTGGTACTATAAAAACATTATTACAGTATCATAACAACTCGAGGGTGGAGACCTGTTACCTTACTTACTGTTACATTGGTAACCACTAACTGTTACCTTGGTAACCACTAACTGTTACCTTGGTAACCACTAACTGTTACCTTGGTAACCACTAACTGTTACCTTGGTAACCACTAACTGTTACCTTGGTAACCACTAACTGTTACCTTGGTAACCACTAACTGATATCTAACTGTAACCATGGTAACCACTAACTGTTACCTTGGTAACCACTAACTGATAGCTAACTGTAACCATGGTAACTCAGGTTGGAACCAGCTGATGTGGTTACACGAGGATAAGGAACTGTTGCCTCCCTCAACTAATAGAATTCTAGCAAAGAACTCTCGCAGGAACCTCACAATAACTAATGTAGTCAAGGCAGACCAGGGTAAGATATTTAGTAACATCTCAAATAAAGTTTAATAAAGTATAGTGTAGTTTACTAGGTAACTAACTGTAACCATGGTAACTAGAAACTAACTGTAACCATGCATGGTAACTAGGTAACTGACTGTAACCATGGTAACTAGGTAACTGACTGTAACCATGGTAACTAAATAACTAAGTGTAACCATGGTAACTAGGTAACTAACTGTAACCATGGTAACTAGGTAACTAACTGTAACCATGGTAACCATGGTAACTAACTGTTACCATGGTAACTAACTGTAACCATGGTAACTAAGTAACTAAGTGTAACCATGGTAACTAGGTAACTAACTGTAACCATGGTAACTAGGTAACTAACTGTAACCATGGTAACTAACTGTAACCATGGTAACTAACTGTAACCATGGTAACTAGGTAACTAACTGTAACCATGGTAACTAGGTAACTAACTGTAACCATGGTAACTAGGTAACTAACTGTAACCATGGTAACTAACTGTAACCATGGTAACTAACTGTAACCATGGTAACTAGGTAACTAACTGTAACCATGGTAACTAGGTAACTAACTGTAACCATGGTAACTAACTGTAACCATGGTAACTAGGTAACTAACTGTAACCATGGTAACTAGGTAACTAACTGTAACCATGGTAACCAGGTAACTAACTGTAACCATGGTAACTAACTGTAACCATGGTAACCAGGTAACTACAGATGCGGGTTGACACTATCTGACGGTAGTTATCACAGTGCAGACTTCATACTGACTGTAGACGAGGGAGATACGGAAAATATACTAGTTGCTGTTCAGACACCAGTAACTGCAATGCATAGCAGCTCAGTTACCTTAGCGGTCAGTATCTTGTAGTTGTAGTGACCTTTAAATTACCTTTAAATTACCTTTAAATTATCTTTAAATTATCTTTAAATTACTTTTAAATTACCTTCAAATCATCTTTAAATTACCTTCAAATTACTTTTAAATTACCTTCAAATCATCTTTAAATCATTTTTAAATAACCTTTAAATCATCTTTAAATTACCTTTAAATTACTTTTAAATCATCTTTAAATTACCTTTAAATTATCTTTAAATTACCTTTAAATTACCTTTAAATTACCTTCAAATCATCTTTAAATTATCTTTAAATTTCCTTTAAACCATCTTTAAATTATCTTTAAATTACTTTTAAATTACCTTTAAAACATCTTTAAATTATCTTTAAATTACCTTTAAATCATCTTTAAATTACCTTTAAAGTTTAAATCATCTTTAAATTACCTTTAAATTACTTTTAAATCATCTTTAGATTACCTTTAAATTTCCTTTAAACTACCTTTAAATTTCCGTCAAATTAAATTTAGGTGACCTAATAAAGTGACCCTTTATTAAAATTTAATGACCTTTGAAGCAAAATTTAATGTTTTCGAATAATCACATATTATATAAATATGTCTTGTACAATGACACTGCCTTACCTGTTGCAATAAATAACAGTATTTATATTTTATCATGATAATAGTAGTTTAATGACTTTCACATTTCACAGGTAAAGACAAGCATTAAAAATGTGCCACCCACCTCTTTTACTTGGATCAGAAACAACGCTTATATCGACTCTGTCAACGACCCTAAATACTCGTAAGTAACCGTAGCAACATTACCTTATAATATGGTAGTGTTACTATGGCATTATTACTCTACTAGTGTAACCCGTGCCTACGGCCGGGACTTCACTATTGCAATTGAAATGCAAAAGTATACATTAAATTTGAAAACACGCATAACATTGTCGTAAGAGAGTTCGTACTTGTCACATTTGTGACATAAATTAAACCATTTACCACCGGCCGATCTAAAAAAAGTGCTTATTCATGGCTTCGTCAGAGTTTTGGCGGCACTATACCGAAAAAACCAGTCCCGTAACTCTAACGCACGCACGCACGCACGCACGCACGCACGCACGCACGCACGCACGCACGCACGCACGCACGCACGCACGCACGCACGCACGCACGCACGCACACACACACACACACACAGATTTATAGATATGATAGTGTTAGATAATAATTAAAGACCATAAAGACTCGTAAGTTCAGTTAGGAAACTGAGCATTATAAAAACAAAGCATGATCTAAATTACCCCCCCCCCCCCCCCCCTCCGCATAACCACCCCTCCGTTAGGTTTGTTAACTACAGAAAAGGTTTGGTAATAAGAGACGTAAAGGAGTCCGACACTGGTGTTTATACTGCGCAGATGATGTACGGTAAAATACACGTCCGAGCTGACATTCACCTTCGTATCAACAGTGAGTCATTATAATGTACTTTTTAAAGGAGCACTACCCGTGTGCTACCCGGCTTATCGGCCAGATTGAACAAATGCAAAACCCTGATTAAGTGATAAATTAATTTAATTGTGAGTGCTCACAGGTATCCAATAGTAAACTACTACCTTATCGGACCTTATTTGGACGGACATTACTTGAACGGACATAATTATGAACGGACATTAATATGAACGCTAGAAGGCAATCAAAACCGTCAAAAATCCGAATTTTTTTTTCATCCTTTTTTTAATTTTAGCAAATGATTTTTAAATGCATTGTTAAAATTTTATAATACCTTTTTTTTATTGATGCAACGATATAGTTTAGTTTAATGATAGCTATTGAATTTGACTGAAATTAAAAAATTGTCATATATATATTCTGGACAAAAAGTTCGAAATGGAAAAATTTTTGAAAAAATTTCAACGGACTTTAACTTGGACGGACATTAAGATGAACGCTAGGGCCTCCAGCGTTCAAGTTATGTCCGTCCAAATAAGGTCCGATAAGGTATTACTAACTGTGTGTTACTAGCTACTATTACTAACTGTGTGTTACTAGCCACTATTACTAACTGTGTGTTACTAGCTACTATTACTAACTGTGTGTTACTAGCCACTATTACTAACTGTGTGTTACTAGCTACTATTACTAACTGTGTGTTACTAGGTGCTGAGGTGGATATTCGAGCGGAGAACAGCCCCTTAAAGACAGTGGTCGGACAAACCGCTCACTTTTTAGTTACAATTGACAGTGTTCAAACCGTCCCCTGGAGGAGCGTAGAGTGGTACAAGATATCTAGTAAGTTACTATAGCAACATTGCCTTATATGGTAGTGTAACCATAGCAACATTGCCTTATATAGCAGTGTAACCATAGCAACATTGCCTTATATGGTAGTGTAACCATAGTAACATTGCCTTATATGGCAGTGTAACCATAGTAACATTGCCTTATATGGCAGTGTAACCATAGCAACATTGCCTTATATGGCAGTGTAACCATATCAACATTGCCTTATATGGCAGTGTAACCATATCAACATTGCCTTATATGGCAGTGTAACCATAGTAACATTGCCTTATATGGCAGTGTAACCATAGCAACATTGCCTTATATGGCAGTGTAACCATAGCAACATTGCCTTATATGGCAGTGTAACCATAGCAACATTGCCTTATATGGCAGTGTAACCATAGCAACATTGCCTTATATAGTAGTAGTGTTAGCTACAAATAATATAATTTGGTAAACCGGAGTCGGGGAGCCGATTTCCTTGTCTAGGGTGTTACTAGGTTACTGTCTAACTGTGGTCACGGCCCTTTCGCAACGGTATAAGAGGTTTTATTACTGTACTACCATAATATTATATTTCTTAGTGATGTTGCCATGGTAACACTACCATATTATATTTATAGTATAATGCCAACAATTCACTGCTTCTTAGTAAGTTAAACGTTTTGAAATCAGGTGACGGAGAGAGCAGAGAGAAGAAGTTAACACCCCCGTCAGGGAGGTACAAGACACCGGACAGCAGGCGGAAACTGGTCATACAAGCTGTTCAGAAGTCTGATGAAGGTAATCTTGTAGTCGCTAGAGTGCCCTCAAGTTCTGAATAGATGCACTTGTAGAAATATTATTATATATATTAATATTATTGATTGTAATTTTAATTTTAATCGGAAATACATTTAAAAAGTTGATTTTCAGGTTTTTACGAAGTGGAGGTGAATCACAAAGGATCTGTTGTCAAGGCAACAGTAGAACTGCAGGTGCTAGAAAGCAAATGGGTCAATTCTCAGTAGTGCCTTATATGGACATCACGTGTAGTGCCTTATATGGACATCACGTGGAGTACTGATCGGGAACGATGTAAAATTACAATCTATAATAAGAGGGCTTTTAAATTTTGATGAAGATTAACTCTTGCTTTTGAATTGATATTTTCAGATTGAAATTGTGACCTTTGATTTCATTTGTGTTTTGAATGGGCATAATCGAACTGGTAATAATTGGACTGGTAATAATTGAACTGGTAATAATCGAACTGGTAATAATCGAACTGGTAATGCAATGATGATTTGAACCACTTTATTATGTATGATTGAATTATTAGCATGTTAATGTACCATTCTGCAATTAATAAAGTTTAAAAACCGTGTTTTTAGTGTTTTAGTCGAATGTCTGACCTTGTCCTTCACTCAGAGAATGACTCTGACCTTGTCCTTCACTCAGAGAATGACTCTGACCTTGTCCTTCACTCAGAGAATGACTCTGACCTTGTCCTTCACTCAGACAATGACTCTGACCTTGTCCTTCACTCAGACAATGACTCTGACCTTGTCCTTCACTCAGAGAATGACTCTGACCTTGTCCTTCACTCAGAGAATGACTCTGACCTTGTCCTTCACTCAGAGAATGACTCTGACCTTGTCCTTCACTCAGAGAATGACTCTGACCTTGTTCTTCACTCAGAGAATGACTCTGACCTTGTCCTACACTCAGAGAATGACTCTGACCTTGTCCTACACTCAGAGAATGACTCTGACCTTCTCCTTCACTCAGAGAATGACTCTGACCTTGTCCTTCACTCAGAGAATGACTCTGACCTTGTCCTTCACTCAGAGAATGACTCTGACCTTGTCCTTCACTCAGAGAATGACTCTGACCTTGTCCTTCACTCAGAGAATGACTCTGACCTTGTCCTTCACTCAGAGAATGACTCTGACCTTGTCCTTCACTCAAAGAATGACTCTGACCTTGTCCTTCACTCAGAGAATGACTCTGACCTTGTCCTTCACTCAGAGAATGACTCTGACCTTGTCCTTCGCTCAGAGAATGACTCTGACCTTGTCCTTCACTCAGAGAATGACCCTGACCTTGTCCTTCACTCAGAGAATGACTCTGACCTTGTCCTTCACTCAGAGAATGACGCTGACCTTGTCCTTCACTCAGAGAATGACTCTGACCTTGTCCTTCACTCAGAGAATGACTCTGACCTTGTCCTTCACTCAGAGAAATTCAGGGGTGTAGGAAGAGGGGGGCAGGGGGGGGCCATCGCCCCCCCATGAAATCTGGGCAAGGGGCCAAAAAGGGCCAACTTTTTAATTTAGGCTTCTAAAAATTTTTTCCCCCGTAAATTTTTAAGTCAAAAATTTTCTAAGTCAAAAATTTTCAAAGTTTTCTTGAAAAGTACTTTTGTTCATGTTTCATGCTACCCTGATCATTATGAGCCAAAAATATTTTTTTCGGTTTTCGAAGTTCGATATACGATTTTGGACTCGAGGGTTCCCCTTTGTAATGCGATCTCGGAAGGCAGGCCTCCCCTTCGCAATACAAGCTCGGAAGCGGGAGCTCTGCTTTCAGAGGTACGTATCGAGAATGACTCGGACCGAAAATTTTCTGAGTCAAAATTTTTCAAAGTTTTCTTGAAAACTACTTTTGTTCATGTTTCATGCTACCCTGATCATTATGAGCCAAAAATATTTTTTTCGGTTTTCGAAGTTCGATATACGATTTTTGGACTCGAAGTTTCCCCTTTGTAATGCGATCTTGGAAGGCAGGCCTCCCCTTCGCAATACGAGCTCGGAAGCGGGAGCTCTGCTTTCAGAGGTACGTATCGAGAATGACTCGGACCGAAAATTTTCGGAGTCAAAATTTTTCAAAGTTTTTCTGGAAACTACTAAATTTGTTCATGTTTCATGCTACCCTGATCATTCTGAGCCGAAAATATTTTTTTCGGTTTTCGAAGTCCGCACCTACCCTTCGATATACGATTTTGGACTCGAGGGTTCCCCTTTGTGATGCGATCTCGGAAGGCAGGCCTCCCCTTCGCAATACGAGCTCGGAAGCGGGAGCTCTGCTTTCAGAGGTACGTATCGAGAATGACTCGGACCGAAAATTTTCTGAGTCAAAATTTTTCAAAGTTTTCTTGAAAACTACTTTTGTTCATGTTTCATGCTACCCTGATCATTATGAGCCAAAAATATTTTTTTCGGTTTTCGAAGTTCGATATACGATTTTGGACTCGAGGGTTCCCCTTTGTAATGCGATCTCGGAAGGCAGGCCTCCCCTTCGCAATACGAGCTCGGAAGCGGGAGCTCTGCTTTCAGAGGTACGTATCGAGAATGACTCGGACCGAAAATTTTCTGAGTCAAAATTTTTCAAAGTTTTCTTGAAAACTACTTTTGTTCATGTTTCATGCTACCCTGATCATTATGAGCCAAAAATATTTTTTTCGGTTTTCGAAGTTCGATATACGATTTTGGACTCGAGGGTTCCCCTTTGTAATGCGATCTCGGAAGGCAGGCCTCCCCTTCGCAATACGAGCTCGGAAGCGGGAGCTCTGCTTTCAGAGGTACGTATCGAGAATGACTCGGACCGAAAATTTTCTGAGTCAAAATTTTTCAAAGTTTTCTTGAAAACTACTTTTGTTCATGTTTCATGCTACCCTGATCATTATGAGCCAAAAATATTTTTTTCGGTTTTCGAAGTTCGATATACGATTTTTGGACTCGAAGTTTCCCCTTTGTAATGCGATCTTGGAAGGCAGGCCTCCCCTTCGCAATACGAGCTCGGAAGCGGGAGCTCTGCTTTCAGAGGTACGTATCGAGAATGACTCGGACCGAAAATTTTCGGAGTCAAAATTTTTCAAAGTTTTTCTGGAAACTACTAAATTTGTTCATGTTTCATGCTACCCTGATCATTCTGAGCCGAAAATATTTTTTTCGGTTTTCGAAGTCCGCACCTACCCTTCGATATACGATTTTGGACTCGAGGGTTCCCCTTTGTGATGCGATCTCGGAAGGCAGGCCTCCCCTTCGCAATACGAGCTCGGAAGCGGGAGCTCTGCTTTCAGAGGTACGTATCGAGAATGACTCGGACCGAAAATTTTCTGAGTCAAAATTTTTCAAAGTTTTCTTGAAAACTACTTTTGTTCATGTTTCATGCTACCCTGATCATTATGAGCCAAAAATATTTTTTTCGGTTTTCGAAGTTCGATATACGATTTTGGACTCGAGGGTTCCCCTTTGTAATGCGATCTCGGAAGGCAGGCCTCCCCTTCGCAATACGAGCTCGGAAGCGGGAGCTCTGCTTTCAGAGGTACGTATCGAGAATGACTCGGACCGAAAATTTTCTGAGTCAAAATTTTTCAAAGTTTTCTTGAAAACTACTTTTGTTCATGTTTCATGCTACCCTGATCATTATGAGCCAAAAATATTTTTTTCGGTTTTCGAAGTTCGATATACGATTTTGGACTCGAGGGTTCCCCTTTGTAATGCGATCTCGGAAGGCAGGCCTCCCCTTCGCAATACGAGCTCGGAAGCGGGAGCTCTGCTTTCAGAGGTACGTATCGAGAATGACTCGGACCGAAAATTTTCTGAGTCAAAATTTTTCAAAGTTTTCTTGAAAACTACTTTTGTTCATGTTTCATGCTACCCTGATCATTATGAGCCAAAAATATTTTTTTCGGTTTTCGAAGTTCGATATACGATTTTTGGACTCGAAGTTTCCCCTTTGTAATGCGATCTTGGAAGGCAGGCCTCCCCTTCGCAATACGAGCTCGGAAGCGGGAGCTCTGCTTTCAGAGGTACGTATCGAGAATGACTCGGACCGAAAATTTTCGGAGTCAAAATTTTTCAAAGTTTTTCTGGAAACTACTAAATTTGTTCATGTTTCATGCTACCCTGATCATTCTGAGCCGAAAATATTTTTTTCGGTTTTCGAAGTCCGCACCTACCCTTCGATATACGATTTTGGACTCGAGGGTTCCCCTTTGTGATGCGATCTCGGAAGGCAGGCCTCCCCTTCGCAATACGAGCTCGGAAGCGGGAGCTCTGCTTTCAGAGGTACGTATCGAGAATGACTCGGACCGAAAATTTTCTGAGTCAAAATTTTTCAAAGTTTTCTGGAAACTACTTTTGTTCATGTTTCATGCTACCCTGATCATTATGAGCCAAAAATATTTTTTTCGGTTTTCGAAGTTCGATATACGATTTTGGACTCGAGGGTTCCCCTTTGTAATGCGATCTCGGAAGGCAGGCCTCCCCTTCGCAATACGAGCTCGGAAGCGGGAGCTCTGCTTTCAGAGGTACGTATCGAGAATGACTCGGACCGAAAATTTTCTGAGTCAAAATTTTTCAAAGTTTTCTTGAAAACTACTTTTGTTCATGTTTCATGCTACCCTGATCATTATGAGCCAAAAATATTTTTTTCGGTTTTCGAAGTTCGATATACGATTTTTGGACTCGAAGTTTCCCCTTTGTAATGCGATCTTGGAAGGCAGGCCTCCCCTTCGCAATACGAGCTCGGAAGCGGGAGCTCTGCTTTCAGAGGTACGTATCGAGAATGACTCGGACCGAAAATTTTCTGAGTCAAAATTTTTCAAAGTTTTTCTGGAAACTACTAAATTTGTTCATGTTTCATGCTACCCTGATCATTCTGAGCCGAAAATATTTTTTTCGGTTTTCGAAGTCCGCACCTACCCTTCGATATACGATTTTGGACTCGAGGGTTCCCCTTTGTGATGCGATCTCGGAAGGCAGACCTCCCCTTCGTAATACGAGCTCGGAAGCAGGAGCTCTGCTTTCAGAGGTACGTATCGTGAATGACTCGGACCGAAACTTTTCTATGTCAAAATTAAAAAAAAGTTTTCTTGAAAACTACTTTTGTTCATGTTTCATGCTACCCTGATCATTATGAGCCAGAAATAATTTTTTCGGTTTTCGAAGTTCGATATACGATTTTGGACTCGAAGTTTCCCCTTTGTAATGCGATCTTGGAAGGCAGGCCTCCCCTTCGCAATACGAGCTCGGAAGCGGGAGCTCTGCTTTCAGAGGTACGTATCGAGAATGACTCGGACCGAAAATTTTCTAAGTCAAAATTTTAAAAAGTGTTCTTGGAAACTACTTTTGTTCATGTTTCATGCTACCCTGATCATTATGAGCCAAAAATATATTTTTCGGGTTTTTTTTCCTTACCCTCGAAATTCAGGCTTTGGCGCGAAGCGCCAAAAAAATTTAGAATTTGGCCCCCCCATGAAGAAAATCATTCCTACACCCCTGCAGAGAATGACTCTGACCTTGTCCTTCACTCAGACAATGACTCTGACCTTGTCCTTCACTCAGAGAATGACTCTGACCTTGTCCTTCACTCAGAGAATGACCCTGACCTTGTCCTTCACTCAAAGAATGACTCTGACCTTGTCCTTCACTCAGAGAATGACTCTGACCTTGTCCTTCACTCAGAGAATGACTCTGACCTTGTCCTTCACTCAGAGAATGACTCTGACCTTGTCCTTCACTCAGACAATGACTCTGACCTTGTCCTTCACTCAGAGAATGACTCTGACCTTGTCCTTCACTCAGACAATGACTCTGACCTTGTCCTTCACTCAGAGAATGACTCTGACCTTGTCCTTCACTCAGAGAATGACTCTGACCTTGTCCTTCACTCAGAGAATGACTCTGACCTTGTCCTTCACTCAGAGAATGACTCTGACCTTGTCCTTCACTCAGAGAATGACTCTGACCTTGTCCTTCACTCAGAGAATGACTCTGACCTTGTCCTTCACTCAGAGAATGACTCTGACCTTGTCCTTCACTCAGAGAATGACTCTGACCTTGTCCTTCACTCAGAGAATGACTCTGACCTTGTCCTTCACTCAGAGAATGACTCTGACCTTGTCCTTCACTCAGAGAATGACTCTGACCTTGTCCTTCACTCAGAGAATGACTCTGACCTTGTCCTTCACTCAGAGAATGACTCTGACCTTGTCCTTCACTCAGAGAATGACTCTGACCTTGTCCTTCACTCAGAGAATGACTCTGACCTTGTCCTTCACTCAGAGAATGACTCTGACCTTGTCCTTCACTCAGAGAATGACTCTGACCTTGTCCTTCACTCAGAGAATGACCCTGACCTTGTCCTTCACTCAGAGAATGACCCTGACCTTGTCCTTCACTCAGAGAATGACTCTGACCTTGTCCTTCACTCAGAGAATGACTCTGACCTTCTCCTTCACTCAGAGAATGACTCTGACCTTGTCCTTCACACAGAGAATGACTCTGACCTTGTCCTTCACTCAGAGAATGACTCTGACCTTGTCCTTCGCTGAGAGAATGACTCTGACCTTGTCCTTCACTCAGAGAATGACTCTGACCTTGTCCTTCACTCAGAGAATGACTCTGACCTTGTCCTTCACTCAGAGAATGACTTTGACCTTGTTCTTCACTCAGAGAATGACTCTGACCTTGTCCTACACTCAGAGAATGACTCTGACCTTGTCCTACACTCAGAGAATGACTCTGACCTTCTCCTTCACTCAGAGAATGACTCTGACCTTGTCCTTCACTCAGAGAATGACTCTGACCTTGTCCTTCACTCAGAGAATGACTCTGACCTTGTCCTTCACTCAGAGAATGACTCTGACCTTGTCCTTCACTCAGAGAATGACTCTGACCTTGTCCTTCACTCAGAGAATGACTCTGACCTTGTCCTTCACTCAGAGAATGACTCTGACCTTGTCCTTCACTCAGAGAATGACTCTGACCTTGTCCTTCACTCAGAGAATGACTCTGACCTTGTCCTTCACTCAGAGAATTCACTGGCCCTTTCTATAAACCTTGACTCATGTTTCTTTTCTTTTCATTATAATTCATCAAAAGTGGTCCGCTAGGTTTAGTTTTAGTTCCTCCCCCCTCCCTTTTAAGGGGACATGTATACCAAAACCTTTTTTTCCGGGATTTGACTTCATATCATGAAAATATAAATAAAAACAATGAAACGAAACTTTTAGTTCCAAATTTATAATACTGAAAGTTTCGTCTTATCAAGCTGATTATTATTTTAAATAAACTGATACCTTTTGAGATTAAGATGTAGGCATTATAAGCCTTAAATCTGCCATTTAATTTTTGGCCCTTTTTTACATGAATTTTACCAAGACCTAAGAGGCCAGAATTCATGCCTTAAAACTCAAAATTGAGAGAAATCCTGAATATGCAGATCATCAGCTACACTCACAAGAGAGTAAGATATTTTTGAAGTGATATCTTACTCTAGTAGCAGGGAGGCTACTAGAGTATCTAATGAGCTGGGTGATTGGTAAAATGTACAAAAAGTAGGTAAAATGTACAAAAAGTAGGTAAAATGTACAAAAAGTAGGTAAAATGTACAAAAAGTAGGTAAAATGTACAAAAAGTAGGTAAAATGTACAAAAAGTAGGCAAAAATTTCAATTTTGCTTCTCTCGACCTTGTTCGGTTTGTATTTGTAACTTCGTCATTTATTGTTCATTTATATAATCCTTTCAAGGACTTCTTGTACGTATTGTAAGTAATGTTCTACTTTTTGGTTACTTTGGTGTGCTTCATAGAATCCTCTATCGGGTCATCAGAGTTGCTGACCAGCGAGATCGCTGCCTATATTCCACTCGAGTCCAGTAACGAGTTTCCATTTCGACAGCTGTATCCTGCCACTAGAGGCTCGTCCGGGAATGATTTCACAAACGTTGCAAGCATTCTGTTAAAGTGCAGGGGATCTTCGATAGTATTAGTATGCATGTTTGGTGGGATTAAGTTCCACAATCGAGGTCCAATTACTGCAAACGAATTGTCGTAGAGCGTATTTTTTTTATCTCACACTTATTTTACTTCGGAGTATTCCAACAGCCACATTGTTACACAAGTGTAACTAGCCAATTACAGGAAGCCGAAGGATTTAATTAGGCCAGTGACGGTTAAGGTAGTGTGTACCATACTTTCTTCGCCCGAGACTTCGCTGCAATGGACAGCTTCTCATTTAACCCTCACACACGATTTCTCGAATATTCAGCCCCCCGAGTAGACCGGGGGGCTGCATAGACCACTCAGGATCCTTAGCTGAATGTCGACGACACTCACCCCACGACTAGGCAGGCAGTCGGTTTCGAACTCGCAATCTCACGATTACAAACCCGATGATTAACCAACTACGCTACCTGGCCGTTCATTATGGTTACGCTGACTGCTAGATTTATTCAGAGTGGGAATAACTGACTTTTGGCCATGTCGGAGTGGTGCGGAGAACTGGATGTTGACATCATTTGGGCACTTGCCGTGCAGCACTTTCCGGTAAACAAATTTCAGTAAAAAAATCTGCCAAAAAAACTTTTTCAATGTATCAAATCTTATTGTTTTTATCTATATTTTTATAATATGAAGTCAAATCTCGGCAAAAAAGGTTGTCCCCTTAATTAAATCCCTACCCAGTCATGTCTCTCCACTAATAACACCGTACTAAGTGAAAAATTGAGTTGTACAAATTTAAGCTGTTAAACATAAACATTAATCTACGCAAAACCGGCTTTTAAAGGAGATTGTCATGTGAAGAGTCACATAATTAATTAACTAACTATCAAACTAATTAATCGATTAATTATTTATGAAACTGAAAATCCTACGCTCGCCACAATTCAGAATAAATATGAAAGATTTTGATGCTGCGAAACACAATAACAAGTTTCATTAAGTTTTCATCTCTGTAATTACTCAATCGATCACCGCGCAGAATTTCCCACTCCACAACAAAGTTTAATCCGTCAGCTGCTGTTCTGTGCTCCTTCATCAAATATTCAGTTTCTCGAGAACTTGACAAGTTTCTTCAATCATCTTCGGAGACATAGTCAGCTCCTTCTTCAATTTTAGCGTCCAACATTTTGAAGAACTCGACTTGCGACTGCGTCCTTTCCCTGAAGATTTAAAAAAATTATATTGCTAATGAGGAGGAAGTTCATTACATAAGTAGATCGAATTGTGCAAATAACAATTCGGTTTTTACAATCTAACAAGAAATGCGGCCGCTTTTCTTTTGTGGATGGCCGCTCAATTTCCCGATCCGGGATGAAGTATTTTATCATATTCCATACTGCACCTGGGGACCCCAGTCTTTGCGGTTTATAAGCATGCAGATATGGCGGAGTGACAGGCCGAGCGCCGCCCAGTTGATATAATTCTATATTGAATTTGAAAATCGTGTATATTTCTATGTAACCATATGTTTATTGTTTATGCAACCTGACACGGATTCGTGCAAAATAGTAATACTAACTCAAAATAATAATACAATGCTATCAATTTGTCCCTAGCGGGATGCGTACATGGTGAAATTAACAATGTACTTGAACATTTCAGCACCGCGCGCCAACAATTGTTTAATTCAGATGATCGCGCAAAATAACTTTGCGCAGGCAGACACGTGGGCGATAACTAGACTGGGGGCGAGGGCACGTACGCACGCACGCTCGCACGGTCGCAAGCTACCATATACAAAAAAAACCTCGATCGCTAACCCTTGTCCTTGACTCTTTTGTGCCTTCGGCACGAGTCATGGATCGGGAAAAAATTATTAGCAAATTAATAAATTATTTTAAATTGGGCTGATTCCTTCTGTTTATTGATCATTTTAAACTTACAACTTTACAACAGGAGTAAATATACCAATATTCTTTAGTATAATCACTATTATTTGTTTAAAACTTAATTATAATTAAATGAATTGACTAATAACTTTAATTATAACTTACACGACGACACGGCTGCCGTTGTTAGGTGGCCCGGCGTTAGTTTTCACAAGACCGCTGTCCCTCCTGCCTCTGTGGGCAAATTACTTTAGTTTAGGTTACTGCGGTTACTAGTAACTAGTAGTGTACACTGTACCCCCAGCCCCCTTAATAGGCTTGATACAGAACCTGCCCCCTGTTTAACTTGCCTTTACCCGGCTTGATACAGAACCTGCCCCCTTAATAGGATTACCCGGCTTGATACAGAACCTGCCCCCTTAATAGGATTTTTTCTGAGTTTTACTTAGAAACAGCCTTTAACAGCTTTAACAGCACTACCCAGAGTTCACCAACTACCAAGATGGTAACATAAAATAAAATACTTAATTCTTCTCGAAACTAGGTCTATATCTTTATTGTGAGTGTACAGATTATTTACTTTAGTACCTTACAATGAAATGGCAAGTATTTTGTTGCAAAAGTAAGTTTATCATTGCATCAAAATCAAGTTTTAAAATCACTTACTTTCTTGGTTGTGATGCATCTTTAGAACCTTTGTCCTGAAATGTATCGGTATTTAAGTTCTAGGCGAAAATTAAATTATCTTGTTGCCATAGTGGTGCAACCTATTGAAACGTTGACATAACATCTTCAGATAACATCTGTTGCCATAGCAACACCTACTATAAAAACAACATTATGATATGATATCGTGTGTTCTGGGTATTCTCTATTTAAAATACATTTACTTTACCCCCCCCCCCCCCCCCCCCCCCTTAGTACACTGGAGTGTCCTTTGAGGATTAGCCGACTTAATGTTCGATTACACACAGTAGTGTACAGTACACCCAATAGCGTATTGTAAATATTGCATTGTAAACAGTGACTGTATAGTGATTGTATACAGTGTAAAATGAACAAAGCGCATTGTGTAGTAGCTAGTATACAGTGTATTGTGTACTGACTAGATACTCATATATATTTACAAGTGACTCTCCCAGTCTGGCTAAATTATATAAGTGTTTGATGTACCAAGGTTAAAAATACTGTAAATGCAGCCAGAGTAGAATACCAACTATAGAATTGTCAAAATATCAAATAACGGAGTAGTTCGCTGTTTATTAGTCTCATGATTGAAATACTGATATCTGGATATTATCCGGTTGGAAGAGACAAGGACAAGTGAAACAAGGAAGTTAGGAGTAAGGGCAAATTTTCGGCGTCAACGCCATCTTCAGGCTAAAATTGTTATAAATGTTAGTATATAATAAATGCTTCTATACTAGTTAAAATGCTAAATTAAAATTACACACACTGAATACAGGTTACATCAAATGGTATTGTACATTACATTGAAAATAGTGATGTACACACGTTTTACACTCTGTCCAAGTACATAATATCTACTGAACAGCAGGGTCGTGTGCTATTTGTTTAAATTTGTCTTTGAATATGTTGTAAAAGAAATCCCTTAAGCTTCTCGCACTCTTCTTTGTTATTGATACTAGGTTTAAATAAATTAATGTAGTAAGCTTCTGTCACTTTACGTTTAATGGTGCTATATAAGTTAATTTCTAAAATATCGAAGGAAATATCTGGTTCTATGTTATCGTGAAACTCTGAATATATTTTCAATGTAATGTACAATACCATTTGATGTAACCTGTATTCAGTGTGTGTAATTTTAATTTAGCATTTTAACTAGTATAGAAGCATTTATTATATACTAACATTTATAACAATTTTAGCCTGAAGATGGCGTTGACGCCGAAAATTTGCCCTTACTCCTAACTTCCTTGTTTCACTTGTCCTTGTCTCTTCCAACCGGATAATATCCAGATATCAATTGTCAAAATGTTGTGAATAAACGTGAACATTTCAAATCCCACGAATCGTTTCAGTTACATGAACATTTTTACAGTAGCTATTTAAATTTTGAAGCTAGTTTTTCGGGAAATATCAGGACATTTGATTTAATTTGAACAACCGTATTAATTCAGCTGTCTTGCCTTATATTAAAATCAATTTGGGCTAATTGGATGAACTAGAAACCTCGTGTAAACTGTAAGGTTTAATTATCCAATTATCATGCCATTTTGCTGATACAGTGAGCGCCTAAGGGTTCGATCTTTTCAATACAAAATGTGTTCGCGCGCCACGTTTATCAATATAGGAATAGTTTTAGCCAGTTTCAGATATTTTATGAAGACTAGTACAGTATAGTACTAGTACTAGTATAGTAAAACACAAGAACTTGGAAACTTTACAATTTGATAAAGAAAGGTTTAAGCTTTAAAGATACAGAGACTAATATGCGATAAAAAGTAACGCTGCCACATATTTAAGAAAACTTTGTAACAAATAACATTTTAAATTAATTAAAATAAGCAACTCATCAGCACCAACGCCCAACTGGCTACCAACCAACTGGCTACCAACCAACTGGCTACCAACCAACTGGCTACCAACCAACTGGCTACCAACCAACTGGCTACCAACCAACTGGCTACCAACCAACTGGCTACCAACCAACTGGCTACCAACCAACTGGCTACCTGCCAACTGGCTACCAACCAACTGGCTACCAACCAGCTGGCTACCAACCAACTGGCTACCAACCAACTGGCTACCGACCAACTGGCTACCTGCCAACTGGCTACCGACCAACTGGCTACCAACCAGCTGGCTACCAACCAACTGGCTACCAACCAACTGGCTACCGACCAACTGGCTACCTGCCAACTGGCTACCTGCCAACTGGCTACCGACCAACTGGCTACCAACCAACTGGCTACCGACCAACTGGCTACCTGCCAGCTGGCTACCTGCCAGCTGGCTACCAACCAACTGGCTACCGACCAACTGGCTACCAACCAACTGGCTACCAACCAACTGGCTACCGACCAACTGGCTACCTGCCAGCTGGCTACCTGCCAGCTGGCTACCAACCAACTGGCTACCGACCAACTGGCTACCAACCAACTGGCTACCAACCAACTGGCTACCAACCAACTGGCTACCTGCCAACTGGCTACCTGCCAACTGGCTACCAACCAACTGGCTACCAACCAACTGGCTACCAACCAACTGGCTACCAACCAACTGGCTACCAACCAACTGGCTACCAACCAACTGGCTACCAACCAACTGGCTACCAACCAACTGGCTACCAACCAACTGGCTACCAACCAACTGGCTACCAACCAACTGGCTACCAGCCAACTGGCTACCTGCCAGCTGGCTACCTGCCAACTGGCTACCGACCAACTGGCTACCTGCCAGCTGGCTACCTGCCAGCTGGCTACCAACCAACTGGCTACCGACCAACTGGCTACCAACCAACTGGCTACCAACCAACTGGCTACCAACCAACTGGCTACCTGCCAACTGGCTACCTGCCAACTGGCTACCAACCAACTGGCTACCAACCAACTGGCTACCAACCAACTGGCTACCAACCAACTGGCTACCAACCAACTGGCTACCAACCAACTGGCTACCAACCAACTGGCTACCAACCAACTGGCTACCAACCAACTGGCTGATAACCAACTTGAGTTCTCTAGCTATGGACTTCCTACACTAGGCTGTACCAATATACAAAAGTTTGTCCAAAATCAATGTTGTTTTCCAGATAGTTGTATTGGGTGACCAAAAGTTCACAAAAATTTTTTTGGAGTCCTACTCCAAAATCTTACGGTTGCCCCGGGCAGGGGTGTTGGAAGAGGGGGGGCAGGGGGGGCCATCGCCCCCCCCATGAAATCTGGGCAAGGGGCCAAAAAGGGCCAACTTTTTAATTTAGGCTTCTAAAAATTTTTTCCCCCGTAAATTTTTAAGTCAAAAATTTTCTAAGTCAAAAATTTTCAAAGTTTTCTTGAAAAGTACTTTTGTTCATGTTTCATGCTACCCTGATCATTATGAGCCAAAAATATTTTTTTCGGTTTTCGAAGTTCGATATACGATTTTGGACTCGAGGGTTCCCCTTTGTAATGCGATCTCGGAAGGCAGGCCTCCCCTTCGCAATACGAGCTCGGAAGCGGGAGCTCTGCTTTCAGAGGTACGTATCGAGAATGACTCGGACCGAAAATTTTCTGAGTCAAAATTTTTCAAAGTTTTCTTGAAAACTACTTTTGTTCATGTTTCATGCTACCCTGATCATTATGAGCCAAAAATATTTTTTTCGGTTTTCGAAGTTCGATATACGATTTTTGGACTCGAAGTTTCCCCTTTGTAATGCGATCTTGGAAGGCAGGCCTCCCCTTCGCAATACGAGCTCGGAAGCGGGAGCTCTGCTTTCAGAGGTACGTATCGAGAATGACTCGGACCGAAAATTTTCTGAGTCAAAATTTTTCAAAGTTTTTCTGGAAACTACTAAATTTGTTCATGTTTCATGCTACCCTGATCATTCTGAGCCGAAAATATTTTTTTCGGTTTTCGAAGTCCGCACCTACCCTTCGATATACGATTTTGGACTCGAGGGTTCCCCTTTGTGATGCGATCTCGGAAGGCAGACCTCCCCTTCGTAATACGAGCTCGGAAGCAGGAGCTCTGCTTTCAGAGGTACGTATCGTGAATGACTCGGACCGAAACTTTTCTAAGTCAAAATTAAAAAAAAGTTTTCTTGAAAACTACTTTTGTTCATGTTTCATGCTACCCTGATCATTATGAGCCAGAAATAATTTTTTCGGTTTTCGAAGTTCGATATACGATTTTGGACTCGAAGTTTCCCCTTTGTAATGCGATCTTGGAAGGCAGGCCTCCCCTTCGCAATACGAGCTCGGAAGCGGGAGCTCTGCTTTCAGAGGTACGTATCGAGAATGACTCGGACCGAAAATTTTCTAAGTCAAAATTTTAAAAAGTGTTCTTGGAAACTACTTTTGTTCATGTTTCATGCTACCCTGATCATTATGAGCCAAAAATATATTTTTCGGGTTTTTTTTCCTTACCCTCGAAATTCAGGCTTTGGCGCGAAGCGCCAAAAAAAATTTAGAATTTGGCCCCCCCATGAAGAAAATCATTCCTACACCCCTGGCCCCGGGCGTTTCCATGGTTACGGCCTACCGCGACGTCGCGTTGACCCATAAATGCCATAACTTTATACCTATAGCACCTAGACAATCGAATCATAGCTTAAAAGATGCGGAATGTGTATATTTATATTCAACTTATTGATCAACTATGTGTCTAAAACATTTATTTTAAAAGCCTATCCTACACCCCTGGCTGAATTACTAAAACTGTTTCTTTTCTAAACAGCCCCATCAAGTTTTGCAGTCTCCTCATCATATTAGAAACAAACAAAAAGTTGATTTCAAGAAAATGTCCATGAAGACCCGCTGCCCCCTTAATGACAAAGAATGTAGGTATTCTTTACGAGTGTAATGTACTTATATGTGCATTATTTACGAGTTAGATAATAACGATTAGCAGTATCCCGGAGGCGATTACAATATAATACATATTACAATATAATTACAATATAAAACATAATTACTTAAATAAATAAAATGTAATAAAAACAAACCTTGCCATGCACCGCGTCACCGTTAGATTCGGGAGATTTTCCTGAAGGAAAATAGTATATATTATATAATAAGTGATATACGATATTTATTGATTTACTACTCAATTAATTAACAAATTAACAAATCAACTAATTAAATAATTAACAAATTAACTATACAAGTAATTGGATAACTGATTAACTAAATAGCCAATTAACTTATTAACTACTCAACTGATTAACTAATTAACTAATAACCTTGGTCGTCTGGATGCACCGTCTTCTTGCCGAGGGAAATACCGCAGCCCATACCTCTCTAATCACCATAGCAACTAGCTAACATTCTCTCAATTCCAATGCTACTTTGTCATTGCTATCTGACCGTGTCAGGGGTTAGTTCTGGCTTTTATTATATTATATTAAGTTTTTTTAAACTAATGATTTCAAGCTACTCATGTTGAATAATACCTGGGGGGGGGGGGGGGGGGGGGGGCCTTTGTAGCTCAGTCACTGAGTGCCCGATTGAGATAATTCTTTCTTGTATGACTTACCATCACCACTCATTCGAGGAATACATCAAATCAAAGAATATGCGTGTTAAATTTTTTCGAATGAACTAATGATTAATGAAGGTTGATTTTTGTATTTATTTAATAGATCAAATGATTGGATCTAGCCAAATTGTATCGAATTATGTTTGGCTATTTAAATTACATTTGCCCTGACAAAAATGAGAGTTCTAGCTTCTCAGATGACCGAGATATGAAGCATATAACGAGGTTGAAACTAGATCGGGGGGGGGGGGGGGGGGGGGGGGGGGATCAGGTACCAAGTGCAGGACATCACGTCGACTAAGTGTAGTTTTGGATATTTTTCACTAGACCCACCCACCCCCTTTGCGGTACTAACTGTTTTTTGGATAATACGTAAGACACCCACCCCTTTTGCCGCCTTTTGCGGTACCAACTGTCGAAAAATCGTTGTACTAACTGTTTTTTGGTATATAGAATAAGATACCCACCCAGAAATTGCTTTTTTTTTAAGAGCTCATTTAAACTTTAAAGGAAGACTTTTCAAAATTTTAAAAATAAAAAAAACCCAAAAAAAAACCCAAAAAAAAAACTTTAAAAAACCTCAAAACCCATTCCCAAGATTGAAATTTGAGGTAAAATGGGTTTTTTGGGGTTAGACACTCCCTTTAGTACCATGTACTAACTGTTTTTCTGGAAAATGGGCAGTAGACCCACCAGTTAGTACCATGTACTAACTGTGTTTTTAGAAGAAAAAATGACCCACCCACCAACGTGATGTCCGGTACTAAGTGTATGATCTCCCCCCGACTAGATCTGCATTATGGGAATCGTGCAGATACTATCTGCACGATTCCCATAATGCAGATCTGCAGCAGATAGCCCAATTACGGTGTCGTAGCACGCTATCACATGATTAGCCCAATCGATCATTACCCAATCGATTTTTTCTAACGAGATAAGCAAATTGCTTGATAACTTAGTTATTTTAAATTATATATTAAATCATATTCTGGATTTAATGACATATAGCAATATGTTACAACAGAGTTTTTAACATGTTCACAAACACGAGTATAAGCAATTCAATGTTGATTGGGTGTGGCCTCCAAAAATCGAATTTTCAAATTTTGGTGACGGAGTCCTCGAATGAGTACTGTGACAGTACACCATTATATGCAAAGTTACAGGTCTCAAATATGAAAGTTCACGGAGGTGGTATAAGACCAAACCTATGGGTACTGACTTTTGCCCCCCCCCCCCCCCCCCCCCCCCCCCCCACCCCCCCCCCCCCCCTGTATTCAATTGAGATAATCAAGCTACAACTTACAATGAATAATAGTAATATAGCGATATTACAGTTACCGCTGCACACTGTGTGCTGGTTGCAAATATGCGACAGCAGTAGCCTGTACTTATGAAATATGAGAATAATGTGATCCATTATATTGTTCTAATTGGCATTGTAATAGCACAGTATTCAAACAATGAACATGTTCATTAGACGGAATGTTTATATAATTCAATATAAATTTAAATACTGTATATTATTCAATATACATTTAAATACTGTATATTATTCAATATACATTTGAATACTGTATATTATTATATTCAATATACATCTAAATACTGCATATTATTCAATATACATTTAAATACTGAATATTATTCAATACACATTTAAATACTGTATATTATTCAATATAAATTTAAATACTGTATATTATTCAATATTTAAATTTAAATACTGTATATTATTCAATATAATACAATAATACCTTCGCTTTGGAGGGCTACGCATGATAATTCCCGACAGCTTGCTGGAGGGAATTTGCGGGGGGGGGGGGGGGGGGGGGGGGGGGGGGGGGTGCGCGCCAATGGTGGAGTGACTGTACAAAGTTGGCCAGAATTAGCCAGTAGTAAAACACATCTGGAAATATTAAACATTTAAACAGCCAGGTAATCGTGTAAATGGTGACAGTGCATCCCCTGATTTACAGCGGAGTTTGGGAGAAAGGGAAAAGCCGCGGTAAATCGGGGTTTTAATGTATATATGGTAAATGGAAGACAAAATATAACTATTATATTATATAATAATTATAATTATAATGACCCTGGTCTAATACTGGGGTCTAATACTTCTTGTAAATGGTCTAATACTGGGGTTTTATACTTCTTGTAAAAGGTCTAATACTGGGGTCTAATACTTCTTGTAAAAGGTCTAATACTGGGGTCTAATACTTCTTGTAAAAGGTCTAATACTGGGGTCTAATACTTCTTGTAAATGGTCTAATACTGGGGTTTTATACTTCTTGTAAATGGTCTAATACTGGGGTCTAATACTTCTTGTAAAAGGTCTAATACTGGGGTCTAATACTTCTTGTAAAAGGTCTTTAAAGCTCAGTATCCGATGGAACAGTTGAAATGTGGTTGTATATATAATATGAATATATACAGCAGGGTGTTCACGATACATTGTATATATTATCGTAGTAATGTAAGGAGCAGATCAAGTGTTGAGGCAAGTGTTAAATTAAGAGTGATAGTTAGTTTACAAATTACAAGCTAGTCTGCTGACAGTTAATAAATCAAACTATCATAAAGAGAACGTTTAGAGAACGTTTAGAGAACGTGCTATGAATGAACTAGAACTAAATTTAATAACTAAAATACCGGGCTCAGGGAACGTGAATTGTGCAATTAAAAAGTTGCGAAACTTAGAACACGCCTGCACGAGCTTGCTGAACTGGAAACATCTAATTTACAAAATATAAACTACATGTAATACTACTATATACAAAATAAACTATATAAAACTACCATATAGAATACTAAAATATAAAACACTAAAATATAGCACAAAACCACACCTTACCGCTCTAAGCCGGGTGAGTGACGTCAATAAAAAGCACCTTGGGCTTAATTTTAATTATAGACGTTAAAAAAGTCAATCTTCGAGAATACGGGATCCAATGGGGCAATGGGTTGTGGCATGTTATTGTTGCTAGGGAATGAGACGTAACTCATAACTGTTGTTAGGGAATGTAAGGTAACTGTTGTTAGGGAATGGGAGGTAACTGTTGTTAGGGAATTAGAGGTAACTGTTGTTAGGGAATGGGAGGTAACTATTGTTAGGGAATGGGAGGTAACTGTTGTTAGGGAATGTAAGGTAACTGTTGTTAGGGAATGGGAGGTAACTGTTGTTAGGGAATTAGAGGTAACTGTTGTTAGGGAATGGGAGGTAACTATTGTTAGGGAATGGGAGGTAACTGTTGTTAGGGAATGTAAGGTAACTGTTGTTAGGGAATGTAAGGTAACTGTTGTTATGGAATTAGAGGTAACTGTTGTTAGGGAATGGGAGGTAACTGTTGTTAGGGAATTAGAGGTAACTGTTGTTAGGGAATGGGAGGTAACTATTGTTAGGGAATGGGAGGTAACTGTTGTTAGGGAATGTAAGGTAACTGTTGTTAGGGAATGTAAGGTAACTGTTGTTAGGGAATGTAAGGTAACTGTTGTTAGGGAATTAGAGGTAACTGTTGTTAGGGAATTAGAGGTAACTGTTGTTAGGGAATGGGAGGCAACTGTTGTTAGGGAATGTAAGGTAACTGTTGTTAGGGAATGGGAGGTAACTGTTGTTAGGGAATGTAAGGTAACTGTTGTTAGGGAATTAGAGGTAACTGTAGTTAGGGAATGGGAGGCAACTATTGTTAGGGAATTAGAGGTAACTGTTGCTAGGGAATGATAGGTAAATGTTGCTAGGGAATGATATGTAAATGTTGCTAGGGAACCTGTCTCACATTATACTGGGTGTTAATACCACTGTAGGGCCCTATAACGACGAGCCCACGATAAATAATAATATTGTCTGGATATGTCTTCTGGAACCTACCTGTTGTTTACAGGGTGACTTATACATAACAATATACAATATATAATGCAATAACCGCTTAGAGACAATGCAAATACTGTTAAATTGACGGTGAACAGTAAACTAGCGCTAAATACACTTCCCATCATGACGGCGTAATAAACAGGACAATTAGTGTTCTAAATATAGATCATATTATCATAGTCACGTGTGTTATTATATTTCTATATTATATTTTAAACTTGACGAAATCTCCCCAGTACAAAAACACAAAAAAAATTGCCATAAAGTTGAAAATTCGTGATTTTATCAACGTTGCAGAAAAAGGAAATGCAAAGGATATAGCATTTAATTCTAAGAATTCTGATTTGTGGGAGAATAGTCGTTAGGATAAAAGTGCAATTTAAGGTAAGTTTTACTGTGTCGTCGCTTAGCAACCTAAAAATATTGCATTTGCGCGAGCGAGCACAGATTAATGATCATCAATGCTCGTTTTCATGCTTTATGAAACGTCATGATTGGCTACATTTACTCTTGTTTCTCACGCTATGAATAATCATAATTTTGGCAGTGATAAATGTTTTTTGATGCGGTACGAGTATCGATTAGGGAATACTTAGAACTTTGTCGTCAACGGGGTTTTGTTTTTACATTAATATACTATTATAAATGTTAAGCTATATTTCACTATTTGGGGGAAAGGAGATGGCCGCGGTAAATCGGGGTTTTACTGTAATATTATGTAATACATTATAATGGTTTTTAAATGCAATAACGTCATTCATATGAACAATGCAGATTCTTGCGTACAATATACATATAGAGATATTCTATTATTAGAAGTTATTTGTCAAAGATAGAAGGAGGTATTTCAATATAAACTGTAAGGGTTATACACGCCAACACTACCTCACGAGAAACGTCCTAACTTATCAAATAATACACAAATGTAATTTAAATTACCCCACATAT